GAACTTACACCGCTCGTGCCCCCTTTCAGGGCACAAGAGGTGCGCCCTTCTGCCCCGCCCCCCTCCATTTCTCGCCGCCCCCCGTGGCGCAACGCCCAAGGGAGCAGCCACAGCAGGGCTCGGGGTCCGAAGTGGCCTGGCGGCGCCGCAGTGCGGCGGCGGCGTCGTCCCAGATACCCTCGGGTCATGAAAAAAAAGCACGACGGGAGGGTTTTGGCAATTTCGGCCTCCGGGGGCCCTTACCGGGCCTCGGGACCGTCAACAAAGAGGCTCGGGACGAAAAACCAGTCCCGGGGGAATGGGTCGAGAGCTTTGTGGTCGACGTTGAGGGAGGAGGAAGGAGGGAGCAGGAGGAAGGAGGGAGGAGGGAGGAGGGAGGGAGGAGGGAGGAGATCGGCATTAGGAAGTGGGATTCTGGCTGAGGTGAGGTATGTTGTGGGAGGTCGGAGTCTGCGGGTCTAAATGAAGTAGAGGAGGAGGGTGGAGGGAGGAAGGAGGAGGAAGGGGGCGTCGTGCTGTGGCACGGGGCTCGGTCCGGGACCCCGATCCACGGACCGAGGCACTGTAGACTTCGCCTGGACAGTCAGGGCCAGTAAGGCAACCAAGGACCTCTCACTTGGGGGTTGCGCCTATGAAGGCAGTGATCACGCCTATACTCACCCCATGTTCGCACTGTTCCCTGTGTTCACACCGCGATCACCCAAACCATTGAAACCCAATGTCTTCCTCAAGGTGAACATAAGTATGTGTTCACACTCTGTCCACACTGTATCCACACTATATCCACCCTGGGGGTGGTTTTGCCCCGCCCAACCCCACCTCACCTTCCTTCATCAGCTGCCCCACGGGGGTGGGTTTGGACCCCCCTTCTCGATCAGCTGCCCCCTGAGAAGACCTCGGGCCCCATCCACAGCCAAGATCTTATCACTCGGCTGCCCAAACAGCTCGTCTGGGCATCGTTTCGGAGTTGGCTGATGGGGATACACAAAGCGTCAAGAATTGCGCACGTGTTCCTGCGTTTGGCGTTGTCCTCCGACCACCCCCCTTCCTTGTCATTTGCGGGCAGCTTGATGTCACATCTGTCATGCTGAGGTCTGTCCAAGAGTTCAGTTCCTCGCGATTCGGGCTCGACTCCGCATGCCAGCCTTTCTACGTCCCCTGGAGCCGCAGGGTCTGTGTCTTCCAGCGAAACACCAAACAAGAAACTGTGCGCACGTAGCTAAACTTCTATTACGTCCAAATGCGCTGACATATCAAACCCTGCGTAGTTGACCACCCAACCTCCCTCTAAATCCTCTTCGGCAACTCATGGGGGGGCCTCCCATACCATCTTGTTGGCTCTTGCGAATCGACGCCAGTGGGCTCTAAGTCGATGCTACTCGACGCTAAATCGGCGCTCTCTCATCGATCACCAGACGCTAATCGACGCCAGTGCACTCTAGAGACGAAATTGCGAGGGTATACAAGGCTCCCATGATTTGCAACCAAATAAAACCGTTGTGAGCGCTTCTTGAGAAGCTGTGCATACAACTTTAGCTGCCGCGCGGACCCGCACGGCGCCGAGTCGGTCGACGCAGGCGGCTGGCCGGTCACTTGCCGAAGTCGGCGCCCGAGAGGATCGCCTTCGCATCGGCGATGGAGTCGAGCTCCTCGCAGGCGCAGCGGCGGCGGCGGCAGTCGATTCGGGCGTTGCTTAATGGGGGCGATAAGTGGTGGGGAGGAGCAATGCGCACCTTTCGTGCGCAAGAAGTGCACCCTTCTCCTCCCCCTCCTTTTGTGACGCACGCGCCCAGCCACATACACGAATACCGCCTCCCAAATCTACGAGGTCAGCCATGTGTTACGAACGTTCATGCAACGCTTACAGTCGACCCGTATCAGAATGATGCGCGATAAGGATGCAAGGGCCTTGGACGCCCAGTTAGAAGCTTCTCGAGCGGAGCGCGGCCAACGAGAGTGGCCAAGGATGGACCGATGAGGCAAAGATGCAAGAGCACCCTGGGGAAAGTTGCTCATCCGTAGTATGCAGGTTGACAATGCTTTCGGAACCCACGTGGATTCAAGTACGTGTACGTCCTTCTGTCGCTCCTTCCTCCTTCTGTCGCTTCTCATGTATTGCCACGTGGGTTCAAGTACGTGGATTCGTGCACTCATGGCGTCGATTCCGTCGACCAACGTGGATTCATGCACGTGTACGTCCTTCTGTCGCTCTTCCTGTATCGCCACCCGATGATGCGCAACGGCCGAGGGGTCGATGGCGCGAGGCCGCCTCCGGCCCAACCCGCCAAAAAGGGGATCGGGCAGCGGGCGCACTGCCCGGGGCTGGCAGCGGCGAGGTCCGCGCCGCAGGCGGCCTGGCGGCGGCCCAGCCCTGCGCATGCGATGAGAAGGAGCCTGGCCAAAGCAGTTGGGTGGTACTGTAGAGGCCAGTCCACAAGAAGCCTTCCACGGGAAGCCCAACCATGAGATCCCACGAGATCCCAACCGGTTTTGGCGTGGGAGCGTCACGCTCCCTATAGCAGAGCCACCGAAACCCAAGAAACCCAGGGCACCCTGGAGGCAAGCAGGGTGTTTAGTGGCATGGGTCCCCGCTGTAGTGGCCGAGCCCCTGGGCGCCACACTGGGAGCTGCTCGCCCCGCAGAGCGGGCAATCTCTTCCCACGTGCCTGTCCGCCTCTCATCCTCCTCCTCCTCCTCCTCCTCCTCCTCCTCCTCCTCCTCCTCCTCCTCCTCCTCCTCATGGCTCCTCCTCTTCTCCTCCTCCTCCTCCTCCTCCTCCTCCTCCTCCTCCTCCTCCTCATGCCTCCCTCCTCCTCCTCCTCAATGGCGCTCCTCCTCCTCCTACGCCTCCTCCCCTCCTCCTCCTGAATCTCTTCTAGTATATTTTTTTCCATTTTCCTATTATTTTGTTCTTCTTATTATTATTATGATTCTTCGTATTATTATTATTCTTCTTCATCTTCTTATTATTCTTATTATGATTATGTTTCTTCTTCTTCGTCTTATTCGTCTTCTTTCTTCTTCTTCTTCCCTCTTTTTTCTTTTTCCTCCTCCTTTTCCCTTCCTCCTCCTCCTCCTCCTCCTCCTCCTCCTCTCTCACCTCTCCTCTCCTCCTCCTCCTCTCCTCCTCCTCTCCTCCTCTCCTCCTCCTCCTCCTCCTCCTCCTCCTCCTCCGCCTCTCCTCCCCTCCTCCTCCTCCTCCTCCTCCTCCTCCTCCTCCTCCTCCTCCTCCTCCTCCTCCTCCTCCTCCTCCTCCTCCTCCTCCGGGCTCCTCACCCCCGCCCTTGCCCCGTGCCCGCCTCCCCCCCCCTGCCTCTCCTTTTCTCCTGCCCCGCCCCTCTCCCGTTACATAGACAACTCCTCCCTGCCGCACCGCCTAAGCGTGTCGTTGGGGCGGGCCGGGCGTTCCGCCCGAGAGAGCGGAGGCGGGGAAGTGAGGAAGACAAAGCTAGAGGATGGAGATGGGAGGGGGCGGGAGAGGAGGAGAAAGGAGGGAGCAACGAGGAGGAAAAGGACTCGCAACGGGAGGCTCGGGGAGGTCCTGGACGTTGGCGCTCAGGGACCGGGAAGTGGATAGCGTCTCGCGTCGAAGCGTGGTGGGCCAAAACCGGCGGAGCGACACGCCGTCCAAAAGTTCCCAGATCGTGTTGATTAATGGTCCTGGATCGGATCGGATCGGATCACCTGTGCGGGCATGCGCCCAGGCCCCTTAAGGGCGAGGCGGGTGAGGCCATGGCCTCGCATGAGAGGCAGCGCGCGTCGGAGGCTTGCTCAGGATAATGTGTACCTCACATGTTGATGTTCCAATTGTTTCCACTATTCTGCTGTAATCCGGTGTAGTGACGTAATTTCGCTGAAGTCGTAGTGTCTGTGGCATGAACCTGTCGGAGAATCCCGTGGATGTCATCGTCTTTTCTGTAACCGCGAAGCCCAAGCCAAACACGAACAAGTTGGACGCCTCGGAATTCCAATCCAGTCACATCCTTCAGATACCACTCAGGGCGCAGATACATGCGCAGCCGAAGGCACATAAGCTGGAGGTCGATTGGCGGTGGAAACGGGAAGTCGGAGGTTAGAAATTCGAGCTCGAGATGTTGTGCTGGTGGAGAGTGGAGGTCGATTGGTGGAGGTAGAAGTCGAGAGTCGGATGCTAAAGGTTGGTTGTTGAATGCTGATTTGGTGGGCGTCGGAAGACGATAAATAGAGGTGGGAATGGAGAGTCGGATGCTAGATGCTGGAGGTTGGAATGCGGGGCTGTTGGACGCTGGAGGGCGATATGTGGAGATGGATCGAAAGTCGGATGCTAGACGTTCGTGGTCGGAGTGCTGAGCTGGTGGACGCTGCATGTCGATTGGTCGAGCTTGAAGTGGAGAGTCGGATGCTAGAGGTTGGAGGTCTTAATGTTGAGCTGGTGATCGTTGGAGGTCGATAGGTGGAAGTAGAGGTGCAGAGTCGGGTGCTGGAGATTACAAGTCGGAGTGTTGACCTGGTGGACGCTGGAGGTCGATTAGTGGAGGGGGAAGTGGAACGTCAGATGCTGGAGGTTGGAGGTTGGAATGCTGAACTGGTGGAGGTTGGGAGGTCGATCGGTGGAGGTGGAAGCGGAAAGTCGCGTGCTGGAGGTTGGAGGTCGTAATGTTGAGCTGGTGGAGGTTGCAGGTCGATTGGTGGAGCCGGTCGATCGGAGGGTTCTCGGAGGGTTCAGGGAAGGCCTCGGGACCAGGGAGCGGGGGTGGAGTGATCCGAAATTCGGAGCTCCAGAACCGCTCCTGAGAACGAGTTGAACGCGGGGGACAGGAGGACAAGGAGGACGAGGACGAGGAGGAGGACGAGGTTCGAGGATCGAGATTGGAGGATGGATCCTCGAATATGGAGGAGGAGGAGAAGGAGGAGGATGGCGAAGGAGCGGAGCGGGGCGGGCAGGTGGCGGAGAGGATTTTGAGAACAGCAGTCTGGATCCTCGACCTTCGTCATTCTTCTCCTCCTCCTCCTCCTCCTCCTCCATCGGTGTGTCGGGGCACCTGGCCCCGAAACAATTCGAGTTGTGCAAAGAAGCACAAGTTCCAGATTGACATCCTTGAGAATCTGGGGCCCCGTTGTGTGGGCCTCGCCTGCTCAGACGGAGGCATGGTTTGTGCCT